TGAGATCACGGCTAGCGACATTTCACAACCGAGATAAAAATATTAGAATCCTCTAAAAGACAATTTGGGCCTAAAAGGAACATTCATAAAAGCTGCTTTTTAACCTAAACATAAAAAGCTCCAGAAATGGCTTTAACTGCTTCAGTGGGGGAAGGTGTCACTTATACACTCTACATATTTTTGAAAGGCTTTTTTATTGTTTAACAAAATATATTTGTTAATGCAGAGACATTATCTCAAATTATCTTTACTGGGTAGAAGAGGAAGCTTTGAATAAGACATCATCTTAAATGTATTGACTGATGACTGTATATTGGACAAATGAATGCCACTTTATTCTTAGTCTTATCAAGAGGAAAAGGGTTTAAATGTAATCAGAAACCAATTCACAAACCCCAATACTGGACTGTGCATTATCATTAAAAAAACTTGCAGTTAAAATTGTATAGCCAAAATGTCTAAAAGGATATGGATTAAAAAATGTATGTGCGTGTCTGTGTATGTGTGTCTTGAGATCAAATGTTCATCCTCATCATCTGAGCAACCACTGTATCTCATGATGAAATTAGGAACAGAAGTTGAATGGCAAACAAGATGATTTCTCAAAAGCAAACACTAACCAATGATTATTTTCCTCCTAACACTTCATATTTTTATTCACTTTGAAGATTGAACTTTAACATCTACAGCCTCTAGTGTTACTATGGCCTTTTCCTCTGCTGGCATGGGGCATGACCTGCCCCTCCTCCCTGGCAGGCCTGCCCCAGCGCACGTTATGCCCCCTCATCATGCTCACCCAAGGCTGAAACTAAATTCTTTTCCAAAAGCTCAGAAATGTCTCTAGGAACAGAACTAAAAACCTTGCAGGCCTGGATTCTAACATATGTTCTTCGGAAATGCAATATTCAGGCTGAAGCAGTGCCAATACATTGTTCCCTGATTCTTTCAAGAGAACAAGTGAAATACGTTTATAATTAAAACCTTGGCATAATGGAGTCCTTAAAAATTTGAGGATGGTGTGCCTGTCTACCCTCATCTTCCACTAGCCACAGGAAGTGACCCTGTGCTTCAATCAAACTGAGTTATGTGCTGTCCCCTTAATACAACCAAGACTGCCCTAGTTCTGGGCTTTTGCCTCTGCCACTCCTTGTTCTCCTCCTTCCTCAGCACAGAATGCCCTCCCAGCCACCTTCTCTGGGAAAATCCTTCCTCAGCTGCAGCCCACGGCTGGTTCCTCCTCAGTGAAACCTTGCTAGGCCAACTCTCCTCTAGACTACCGAGGTATGCTGCCTAGTGGATATGTGTTTCTTTTTTCTTTTTTTTGAGACAGGGGTCTTGCTCTGTTGCCAGGCCGGAATGCAGTGGCGCCATCATAGCTCACTGTGGCCTTGAACTCCTGGGCTTAAGCAATCCTCCTGCTTCAGACTTCCGAGTAGTTGGGACTTCAGGCAAACACCACCATGCCTGGTCAATTTTTTTTATTTTTAATTTTTTTGTTGAGACGGAGTCTTGCTGTATTGCTCAGGCTGGTCTTGAACTCCTGTGCTCACATATTCCTCCCACCTGAGCCTCCCAAAGTGCTGGGACTACAGCTGTGAGCCACTGTGCCCAGCCTATATGTGCTTATATGTGCTTCTTATGTATATCATAGATTGTGGCCTTACTCTATAGTTAGTTCTTGCATTGCTATTTAGCTTTCCCTACACAGGCCTCATCTCTACAACTAGACCATAAACTGCTTGAGGGAAAGATTCGGTCTTCCCTCTGGATCCCTTACAGTGCTTACATAGTGCTTGGGCCCAAGGGAGTGCTCTTAGTGTTCTTTTTTATTGACAGATTCTACGTAACATACTGCAAATGGTCACAAAAATCAAGACTACACCCATAGATGTCCCAGAAATAATATCTGACTATACAGAGCAGCATTACCAAGCCACCAAGAAGTCTGCCTAGTAGTAACAGTGATAACAACAGCTAACACTTAGTAAGTGCTTTGATGCATCTGGCATTCTTCCAGGTACTTTCCTTAAATGCATATGACAACCCTATGAAGTTATTAAAATTACAGTCCTCATTTTACAGATCGGGGAACTGAGGCACAGAGCAGTGGTATAGGTGCTCAAGCTGGTAAATAGCAGTGCTGGGATTTCAACTTGGGCAGTCTGGTTCCAGAGTCAGAGCAGAAGCATGGCACCTGCTGTCTCTCTACAGACAGCAAAGGGGATGGGGAGAAGATGAGCCAGGAACAGCCAGAAACGGCAGAAAAAGCTACCAAAGCTTCTACCATTTTTGCTGTTCATGTGCAATGCTTAGCAACTATGTGCCAAAATCATTATTTCAGCAATTAAACAGGTCCTCTAATTTCTTATGGTTTCAGGTTGTTAATTTAAAAATGCAGTTTAAAATACATTCACAAAATGATTAGCTCAGAAGATGACTGATCACCTTTTTTCTCTCATTAGATATCTATTTGATATGTCTAATGTGAAATTTTTCTTATGTTTAATTACACTATCACAGAAAGTTATTTACAATTGATCATGATAGAAACACCTTTACCTGGTTAGAACATGATAAATAATTAACATAAAATGGCAAAAATCGAAGTCTGACTTCTATTTTTATAATTAGGAATAAAAGTGTTATAGCAGAGGGAAATTATAATGGAGAACAAATAGCATATGTATCAAATATAAACATATAACATTGTTCAAGTCCCTGGCTAGGCATAGGCCCAATCTGTTAACAAAATTATGTTTTATTTGTTTTGTGGTTTTCGTTGGATAAAGTCAACAGAGCAGAGGAACAGAGCCACAGATAACTGAAAATCACTTTGGCACTGAAGAGGTCTGCGGACAAGATCTGGAAGGGAATCTAGAAAAATGACAACTTTGGAATAATGGATACCTTTTGTTTTCTTACTGCTTTTATTTTTGTCATAAATATTAAGGGTAAAAAGAAAATTCACATTGTTTGTGCCTATGTGAACAGTGGTACTCAGTCAACTTAGGTTTTACTCAATAGCATGTTGTTAATTAATCTTCCAAATTGTTGGGGTATTTCATATGAAGTAGCCCCTGCCCCTACCTTGTCCTTTTCCCAGACTCGATTCCTTGATAATCACTTCCATCAATTACTAGATAATCATTTGCCTTACTGACAGACCCAGAGGAAGTGATCAATTTTTTGGGCAGAATGAAGGGACAAGTAGCGAACTGGTATCCGGGATGCTGCCTAGAACCCTGTCCATTTAAGAAGACACCCAGGTGATACGCAATGCACAAAAAGCACTGGAACTCCCAGCAGGCAAGCACTGCAGTCTGTAAACCCTCTATTGAGAAAGGCCGTGGCATGTCTACCAGGGACACAGATTTGGGAGGCAGAACACAGACAGGGTGAGGGTGAAAGGCAATGGCTACCGGGCCACGTCAGCCAAACCAACTCCAAAAATCAATGCGATGACAGTGGCCACGGGCCGCTCACTCTCACCTTATAACCTGGGATGGCATAGGCCAGACAGATTATTTCATTTTGTTTTGTTTTTCATTATTTTTATTTACTTTTTTGGAGAGAGGGTCTCACTCCATTGCCCAGGCTGGAGTCCAGTGGTGTGATCATAGCTCACTGTAACCTTGAACTCCTAGACTCAAGTGATAAACCTGCATCAATCTTCCCTGAGTAGCTGGGACTACAGGGACACACCACTATGCCTGGCCTCTCATTTTGCTTAAATTTATTTATTTAGTCACCTAATTTTGAGGGAGGGCAGATTTTGGAAGTAAAGGGCATAGATGGTTCTGTAGTATGCAGAAATCTCAAGCTTTGCTAAGATGGGATCAACATGAAGCATCTGTACATGTACAAATTAGCAGATGTTACCATGACTAACAGTAAAATAAAGAATTAAGGAAATTATGAGGTTAATTTCCTTGAAGTCTCTCAGTAGTCATTTGTGTCTATAGGTATTTTACAACATTGTATTTTCTAATTTAATGAAAGGAAAGCTAACCCAATTTGTGGATTTTATTTTTTGACTCAGCCTCAAAAAGCCTTAGGGCTGATTCAGGCCTGGTTGTAGCAATCGGCTGTCTCAAAGGCCTCCTGAATGTTTAAATAGCTTGTCTCCTGTTTATTTTGCACTGTTTTATCCTGTAAGCTGTCTCAAGGCCCTTCCAATATAAGCATGAGGATTTAAATCTTAATAAATTGAGATTTGAATAATAGAGGTAATCTGGGCTTGGGGGGTCTTGAATTATTGGGATAAACATCTCTATTTCCCATTTGCACATTATGCCTGTGCTGTACACATTGCCCCATGATCAAGGTCAGAAATAGTAAAAATAGTCATAGCAGAAATAATACTGATAATATTTGGAGTTAAATAGCACTTTTCCATTTGTAAGGACTTTTTTATGTACAGATTCTTCTTCTATTCTTGGAATAGTCCTAAACAGTAGGAAGATCAGGTGTTATACCCACTTTAAAAATGACGCAAGTGAGTCACAAAGAGATGAAGACACACTTAAAACAATATGGACGAGTGGAGGCAGTAGGACTAGAACTCAGGTCTTCCTGATAGCTTTCCCACAGTTTTGCCAGATGTGTTAACATATGTGTGCTAACAATAAGACTCAATGACATTCCAATTAAACTTACTGGAGATCTCTTTTTATAAGCTTATGACAGGGACATTGTAGAAGTCTGGAGTTAGCTCTTTTTAAAAAAAGGTTACCACAGAGATTGCTCATCAGTTCAACTCTAGGGTTGAAAGTGACAAGCAATGCTCAACTACCTTTTTGTAGTCTATTATTTTGAAGGAAGGAGTAAAAATATATATAACTTCCTTAAGTGTAATTTAACACCAAAATATTTCTTCTGTCCTGTCATTTCTTATCACTCAAAATTCTAAGGAGTTGAATTTTAAGACATAAGTGAAGGCATAAAAATCACGAAGATACACTTTAACATTAATAGAAACAACAACAATTAAAAAGGCTTACCTTGCAGCCTTCACATGTAATGACACCATAATGGATTCCTGATGATTTGTCTCCACAGATCTTGCATGGAATAATTTCAATTTGAGCTGCAACAGAAGCACGCAACCAGTTAATTACATTTTCTTTTAAACACCTTATAAAAGCGTTCCCTGATCAGCATTTGTATAGTGAAAACTAATAACCTGCTAAACATTATACTGCATTAACTATTCATTGCTGAACTGTGAGGGTCCCCCTAGAGCCCTGGACTAAATTATGGCTGCTCGTTATATAATAGCTTTCGGGTTATTAAAATGGGTCATTTGAGAAGGTGTTTAAGAACCCACAAGAAGACTGGAATCAGCATTTCAAAGCCTTCAAGAACTGGAGAGTTCGCAGTTTAGGCCTCAGAGCAAAGCAGATACTGAAATGTTTCCTCCAATCTCATTTTCTATCATTATTTTTAAAAGGTCATAAATCTGTCTTGGCTGAGCTTTATAGCTTGACTGCTAGAGAAAAATACACTCCAAAAAGTCAGCTCTAGTTAGGAAAATGATTCAATTCAAAATATTAGTAAGTTATATATGATGGTAAGAATTCCTTACTTATCTTTTAAAAAATTAATGCAGTTGCCATGTGTTAAAAATTAGTCCATTTGTGTACAATCAGAACCTTTCAACCACAGAGTTAATATCCTGTTTGAATTTAATAATGATGAATCCTGACAAATAGGATGTATTGCTTCTGAGTTCTTTACGTTGGAAATTTAGTTCCTGGTACAGAAGGCATGTGTGTCTACCCAACTGATTACTTAAAGATGCCTCATGCTAGAAGACTAGCAAATAAAATGTATCACACCAAAGTTCTCAAATAAGGCAAAGCACATTTCTGAGCACACACATTATATCTCAAAGTTAAAAAGAGCATAATTAAGGATAAAAAATAAGGAATAATTAGGCAAAAGAAAATCCTTAGATAAACTATTAAATAGAATTTAGATGTGAAATAAAGACCAATGCTGAGCTGTATAGACAGAATGGGAACAGTCACCAGTTTACCTGGAATGTGTCATGACGCTAAATTCATTTTCTATGGTTTTCACTACTGGGTATCATGTTAGATTATCTACTGAGTTACACACAGAAATACAGTTGCAAGTGCCCAAGTCTGTTTCATTTTTATACAGCCCTTACCTAGCCCCAGACCTTATACACAGTAATTTCTTTGTCCAAAGAATATGTCACACAGTGTAAGTACCACACAGAGACACACAGCCCACTCTTTCTTCTAATGTAATCCCATATCCTGGGATAATTCCACAACCACTTACTTTGGATTTGGGGTGATGTTGTGTTCAGTACTTACAGCACACATGAAACTATCGGATTTAACCTCATTATAAACCATGTGTACTGCTAACTCCCTTTCTCAGGGCCTAATACAAGTACTGTGGTGACTTAGGGAGTGCAAGCTATTCTAAAAGCTATCCATCATTTTTTTTTTAGTGCTTGCATACTGAGTTTCTTTCCTGTCCAAATTTAAAGATTGTTCCAAATGTCACATCCAGTGTATTTTCTATACTCTGGAGGCTTTCTAGTACCCCAATAATGGTGACTGTGGACACTAATAGGTATAGTTTGAGTTAAGCAACTTAATATGTTTAAGGTTGCATTCAACAAAAATTGTCATTTGCAAGTGTGCCACATGTTAACACTTGGCTTGATTTCTTCAAGAAAAATTCTTTATGAAATATGAAATCTAATAATGTCTCATACTTCACAGTCCCTCCGATATGTTTAATATAGTCAAGGCAAAGGTTTGTGCCACAGATCTGCAACTCTAGAGAAAGCGACTTATGCCTAACATTTTGCAGAGACGCACAAAAGGCAAGTGGAAGTAGAGAAATCGTGAAAGGTGTTATCAGCTGAGTTATTGCCTACTCTTCCCTACATGAATTGAGTAGGCTAGAATAAGAACCAGCCTCCCTACCTTGATTCTTAGGAATATAATAATTAGGCAACATAAAGTCCTTGAACCACCCATTAAACAGAATTTATACATGAAATGAAGACCTACTTGGATCTGCTTCTCCCCATGTCTCACCTCAAGGTGTAATGACAGAAATTAGGGATGAACAAACCTCTTTAGGTCCTAGCATTTAAGTCAGCATCAAAACTACCTGACGCTAAACTTGGGCCTTTTAAGAGTTATCTTCATTCCATCTTAACAATGGGGGAGATCAAGCATGTCTACTTAGTCCTCTATAAGAATATGAAGGCCCTGGGCAGGGCATATTGAGAACACTGAGTAGAACTGCATCTGGACAAACTGAAAATGATATGCAGTATTCCTGTCCAGTTGGCCTGGACTCACAGTGGATTACTACTGAGAAGTGAAGTAACGATGTTTAAGGCTGTGACCAAGATGCCTGTCTGGCGTGGAGGACTGCTCATGATGGGAGTGGCCTTGGGAGTACCGTGCTGGCCCCAGCACTTCCATCTCTGGAATGGCTCATGGCCCAGCGGCTGTGACAGTAGGTGCAGGTGGGGAGCAGTTGTACTACAGACCCCAGAGTTTGGTGCCACTGTGACACAGGACTGATGGCCTGAGTCAGGCTTCAGCTCGCAGGGGTTTTCAGATCTGGAGGATATTTGAGCGGAGACAGTCATGAGATCTGTGGAGGCCAAGAAGCTTAGGATAAATGGACTCACTGTAGATTGGTATTTCCAAACGGCGGGGGGGGGGGGGGGCATTCACTTAGATCTTTGTCCCCATGGTGTCTGTGCTTAGTTCCAGTGGGCTAAAGAATCAGAATTAACTGAAACAAGCTTCACTGGGAATCTCACGGTAAGGTGGTAGAAGGGTTTCTGGATAGCAAGTTGAGGTATTCTGATTGGTTAACCTAGTCTCCTAGGCTCCCTCCTGCATGGCTCTCTTATCTCAGATGACAATTTCAGTTGCAAATGCTCTTTAGGAAATGACTAAAATCCCCCTACTCCAAAAGCAAACCCTCTGAATGTGATCTGATCACACGTGTTGAAATTCCCAGAAAGCGAGCATTTGCAGATGGGAGCAGGGCACTTGCTCAGCCCTTCATTTAATCCAACAATGCACAAAAGCCCTCTCCATCCCCCATTTTAGTCAATTTCCAGAATTCAAATTAATCCATGAGAAAAAAATGCAGTCAGTGCCTTGAAAATTTTTCAAAAGGAGGCAGTTTAGTTTTGTGAATTTGAGTTTTCAGTCCAACAAGAAGGAGGAAGACAAAAATCCCTCTGCCCTTTGCTTTTCATCATGTAGGCTTTTTGGTTTCCCACCAGGTAGTGTGGTGTCTTCTCAAAACCTTCTTTTAACACAAATTATGAATCTTGGCCCATATATATACTGCACACATTAACTCAGCCAGCATTTCAAAGGATGAGTTCTGTCAGACAGCACTACTGTCAACGTTCACAAGTATATTGATTAAATTAGCCCACATACATATTCATCCCAGCAAAGAAGTTTATTGTGTAGTGGAATATCTGGAGCAAGATACGCAATATAATCATGAATTGGCTTCACAATGAACAATCTTGCTATGAAAAATTCTAATTTGCCCACATTTTCAGCTCTATTGCCTAAATAATTTGCTCTCTCATGCACCCTATGTAATTCAAGCAGGCTCTCCACACCTGCAGAGGCAAATTTCTGCAGTTTCAAGGAGCTGACAACAAGTGGCAGCGGGCGTCAGGAAATCCTGGAATGCAAGGGTGCTAATTAACCAAGTGGTCCTTGGGGCTAGGCTGTCATTTAGCACTGCACTTCTATAAAAAGTTTGCTTTGAATTTTTAATTATAAAAGGAACAAGAACTTGGGCACTAGCTTTCTTAAGATGACATTTATTCCTCAGGACCTATCTTAGGAGATGTCATGGTCCAGAGAACAGTGCCCATTCTCCCAAACAATTAAAAAAATAAAATAAAAATTGTATGAGAGGCAGTACTTCATTCTGTGAGTAGTGATCTCTCAATGATAATCTAATTTATAATAACATCTACATGTATTTGTGCCAATAATGTGTCATGCATTATATCTCACTCCTCCAACACCCTATGCGGTAGGCATCACTATTTATTGTTACTGTCATCATTGTCATCATCATCATTGCACTCTTGTTAAGCAATCACTAACCGGGGCTCAAAAGACATCCCCTAAGTAGTTTGTTTAAACTTAACACACTACTCAGGAATTGATGTCACTATCTCTTTCTGGGAGTTATCCGCTTAGTTTATAACTAAAAATAACCATCAACCTTCTAGGCCACTGATCTCAGTTTCACAAAATTCTGGTTAGAATTTTAACCCTAAAATGACCAATGCCAACGTTTGACAGTTCTTAAGGCCAGGCAAATTACTTAACCTCTCTGAGCCTCAGTTTCATACCTGAAGATTCAAGGATGTGATACATAAATGCATACCATATATATGATATCTGTATGAGCATTTTATATATGTATTCGCTCTATATGCCCATCACATAGTTCTTAGAAATAGTTGGCACTCAATAAATAGTAGTAGTTATTATTGTTGTTGTTGATAAGAAATCCTGCCTTATAGTGAAATGAAATTCTTTCCTCCAGACTTTAAGCTCTTTCTGAGGTGGGGATAGAGAAAAGCTGCTTATCCTCCAAATAATATGACAGGCAGTTCCTACCAGCTACCACAGCAGTCCTTCACAACATTGCTGCTTAACTGTTTGCTACAACACAGTGGTATGTTGCAATAAGTTGCAGGAGGTCACGGGGAATTGGTTACTAATAAAAGTTTTACAAAATTAAAGTTTTTTATTTGTTCACATAAAAACTAAACTAATATGGACCCAAAGTTACCCCAATAATATCGTTCACTCTAGCTCACTTGCACAATCATATATTTTATTGAATTGGACTGAATGGGGTGGGGTTACTGCTGGCTTGCCAGGAAACGGCCGATGGGCGAACCTTGAGTACACGTATGAGAACATGTCTGTTATGCTTATGAATGTCAACCAATTTTGTGTGTCTTGCAAAAACGGTCAAAAACTAGTGCTTTAAAAAGCCTATCTTTTACACAAATCTGTTGACGGT